AAGAAAAACTACCACAACAAGAGGACATAGTCTTAAATTAGAGGGACAAAGGTTTAAAAACAGTATAAGGAAGTATTACTTTACTGAGAGTGTAGTGGATGCATGGAATAACCTTCCAGCTGAAATGGTAAGGGCTAACATAGTGAAGGAGTTTAAGCATGCGTGGGATAGACATAAGACTTGTGTAAACACAGGTAGGTGTGGTAGTGGTTGGCGCTTATTAGGTATTATATAGTAACAATTTTTATACTTTTAGTCGCTGTGGACACTCTGTGGGTACTCCCAATACCAGACCATAAAATAATAAACACCAAAAGACAAATAACTTGGGGTCTGGTTGGTGTTTCCACCTTCCAAACCTCTAGTTTCAGTGCAGCGCTATATAGATATATACAGGATAATGTGCTCGTATACACATATATGCAACTCACCAACTCACAATAATGGTGCAATATTGTATATACACTGAAGGCAGAATTTTTATGGTGTGTGAGTTAAAATTTACTACATTTACTACATTTTTTAGAGCCTTTTAAGATTTTAGGCTCTAAACTTCCAGGCTTCCGTGTCTTTAAGGTAGACAGCTCTTTAAGGTAGACAGGGGTTAAGCTGTCTACCTTAAACAAGACACATTAGAATGATGTTTAGCAAACAAATATACATAAAATATGTAAAATATTTCCAGCAGGAAAATAAAATAAAATAACGTAAAATAGTCCAAAAAGAGTCTCACTAGAGTAGCAGTGCTTGATGGAATGTGGATGAGTAGACTTTTCAGTAGAAATGGGTACATCCTATGGTCTCAGGGTATTCACATATATGAAAAACAAAGAGACAGGGGCAGCCAGTAGTGCAATACGTCTAATATCCAACGAGTGAAATAGTAGTAGAAGGTAAAGAACTCACATTTAAAAGAGCTATTGCCATCTCTGGTGTGAAGCGCGTACAGCGATATAATACTCGCTGATAGGATATGTTGAGAGAGTACGTCTATCAGCACCGTCTGGTCATCCAAAGCTCCAAAGGGAATAAAAAGAGGCGACAAAAGTGCTCTCAATTGGGTAAATGTAAGTAAAGGTAACTAAAATAATACTCATAGATATTAAGCATGTGCATGGGGAAAAATTTCAGTTCGGTGCGGCATTCCGAAATTTGGCACTTCGGCAACTTTGGAACTTCGGAACTTCGGCATTTCCGAATTTTGGGACTTCTCTTGCAGCCGCTTAGTAGATAACTCCCTAATTCCCACGGTATTATGGAGCTATCTACCAAAAGGCTGAAAGATCTAAATCGGTCTTTCAGACAAATTTACTAATACTAAGTAAAAATTACTTAGTATTAGTAAATTCTAACTATTCTAACTATTAAAAAAAAAAAGGTCCCCCCTCCCAAGCCCTTTGGCCCCCCGAGACCTATTGCCCCCCCGGCCCCCACCCCTGAGCAGCGGGTGGGGGCCCTAAAGTAAAATGATGGGGGGGACCTACTGTTCTCCCCCCAGCCCCCACCCCTGAGCAGCGGATGGGGCCCTAAATACTAATAAGGGGGGAACCTAATGTCTTCCCCTCTGGCCCCCACCCCTGAGCGGCGGGTGGGGGCCCTAAATTAGAATAAGGGGGGGACCTAATGTCCTCCCCCTGGCTCCCACCCCTGAGCGGCGGGTGGGGGCCCTAAATACTAATAAGGGGGGACCTAATGTCCACCCACCTGGCCCCCACCCCTGAGCGGCGGGTGGGGCCCCTAAATACTAATAAGGGGGTACCTAATGTCCTCCCCCCTGGCCACAGGCTGCTCACTGTATAATAGACATGCCCCTACTCGCAGTATAGCGAGTAGGGGCATAATTTACTAATACTAAGTAATCTTTACTTAGTATTAGTAAATTTGGCTGAAAGACCAATTTAGGTCTTTCAGCCTTTTAGTAGCTAGCTCCCTAATACTGTGGGAATTAGGGAGTTATCTTCTTATTCATTCCTGTCATTACATTGACTGGCTAAGTAACTTACATTTTATATGAATGTATGTTACTTGATTGCAAATGTTTACAGCTGAATCCTGGCTATGTTTGTATACTTTTTATTTAAAATTGTATACAGTGTAACATTCTTCATTCTTCCACTGAGTAAGTATATTAGTTCTTAGGCAATACTGTGCTTCGGAACTTCGGCACTTCTGAAATTCTGTAATTTCGGAACTTCGGGTCTTCGACAATTCATCTATTCGGACATTCGGAAGTACAAAACGAATAGCACATGTCTAATAGATATAGAGCAGGAACACTACTCTATTTGTAAAGCATTGGTGGTATGATCCCCACCTGAAATTTCATTTAGTACAGGAACAGCAATAAAAAGCCAGGAAAGTAAAACTAGTAAAAGTGCATAAAAATACAATAACAAGAGAATTGGCACAGTAAAGTAACCAAAAACCTTTAATTCATCTAAAATACACAATATAAAATAACCATTATGCGTTTCACCAATATAGGCTTTCTCAAATGGCATAAAAACACACAACCTGGCTAGTAGAAGTTTATATAGGGGGAAGGATACTTTAAAATGGGTGCCAAAATTATGGCATAGGCTCATCCTCCAATCAGCAAACATCATTATAGTATACATTTCAAATAAGGCCAACAGTAATATAGATGGATAGATATTAGGTAGTGGACCTTTAATATCGTATTAGATATTAAAAATGAGCATGTGGTAAGTTTTGGCAGCATTAGGAAGCCGGAGTATGTGACGCACGTCACGTGAGCGGCTTAATATACTGGCAGCTAAGTCTGCTGGGAGATGTAGTTCCCAGTGAGATACAAACAAGGTTGGCAAAAAACTGCATTTTTGCTACTCTAGTAGCATTACTTCTACTCTAGTGAGACTCTTTTTGGACTATTTTATGTTATTTTATTTTACTTTCCTGCTGGCGCAGCCCTACCCCATTTCTTTGTATTTTCTCATTTGTTGAAGGATTTGAGGGGTCTCCTTCGTTTGGGTTGCTGCCTACCTACATATTGTTTGTTATATTAGAGCTGATTTCCTTTTGTATTTTGTGTATATATACATAAAAACTAGATTGGAGCTAGGTCCAAGGTATAAAATGATATATAATAACTCCACAATCTTCTATGTCTACAATCCATATGTAGCATTGTAAATAGCAATGGTCTCACTCTCACTCTGATTTCATCTTATGACTACTGCCCCTTTTCAATGCCCATCTGGCCTCAGCTCAGGGTACAGGAGTGTAGTAGGATGATAAAAGATGGGCAGCATGGGGTATTATATGCAGCATTATTCAATGCAATATTTAGAAACAGTACTCTTATTTCTACTTCTTTTCCAGACAGTCAAAGACACAGCATGTTAATGCAGTACATTATGTGCATTAGCACACTATAGTCACTTGGTCACATGTGCTGTATCATGATTGTCTTGTATGGGGTTAGAAAATAGGAATTATTAGCCCTATACCTCTCGGACACTGTCAAGTAGACTTAAAATCATGTGCACACTTCATGAATCATGTGCACACACACTTTAGTTATATAGACTACCCAATGTGTTTCATAAAATAACAATATAAAGTGTTTTATTTACCATGGCATGGTCCAATCTAATGCTACTTACAGAGGAGCATTGTAGGCCTAATATGTATACAAGGAGAGCACCACTAATGCATCCCAGCTTACCAATAGGAAAATATGAATAAATAGAGGCTTTTTCATCATTGGACTGCGTTTTTATCAGTCAGTGCAGAAGAAGGGCCTTGAGTGACTGTCAATGTAACAGCCACTGGAGATGTATTTAACCTTTCAAGGTAAACATTGCTGGTTCTGAAAATCAGCAATGTCTTAACTTGAATGGTTAAATTGATAGGGTCATTACACCTAAACTATTTAATTGGCAAGATCTGGGCCTCATAACTGTACATCTTCAAGTAAGAGATCTGGGGTGTTACTGCACAAAATTCAGAGCTCTAGCTCTCATTGTTTCTCCCATCAATGCTTCTGCAGTATGTTTTAAATATATTTTAGGAGGCCCTAGAGTAAATATCTACATTTTAATCCATCATCATCATAATGCAACATGTCAAAGACTATACTAATCAAACAAACAAGAGAAAACAAGACAAACAAGAGAAAAACATAGTAGAAAATCCAATGTAATTGACTACACATTGTTTTCCTTTTTGAAAATATGAAATACAGATATAATGTGCATACATCTTTTTTTACTGAAGATCCTACAGCTTCTGTGAATTCCCTGTCAGTGGATAAATTCCCCAAGTGCATGATATAGTTCAATCATTTTTACTAGAATCCACTGAAAACAGTTTTAAGAGTGTTTTTTTTTTCTTCTTTTTCTTTTAGATTACAGAAGAAACATGCAATGTTTTGTTAGCACTGGGATATGTTTGCACCTGCAGAGGAATAATTAATGTTAAAGGAAAAGGAGAACTGAAAACATATTTTGTACATACAGAGATGACAAGGTCTTTATCACAGGGCAATTTAGCATCCTGAGTAGCAGACAAGATTCTAAAAAACTATGATGATCTTTTTACATCTCCTACAATAGTCTGACAATAAAATTTGCAGTATTTCTCAAAACGTTCACGCCACCCTCACACCAACAATATGGATGTGTTCACCATTTGTGTCTCATAGCTAATGACACATTATGAGCACTTATTCAGCATTAATTCCCGTATTTTCTTTACCAGAGACTCTATTAGGACTTGTTTGTTTAATTGTCATTGTCTTTTGTAAACTAATTCATTAAAACGTTTATATGTAATTTGATTAAAATTGTTTCATATTTATTTCAGTGTTTATAAATTATTATAATATTTTTAATAAATGTTTTCTTTTTCAAAATGTAAGAGAAATGGAAAGTCAGAATATTTTTCGAAATAGACATAAAAACATGAAAAACCGAAATGCTGACACAATTATTAAATATATTGAAAATAATATGCAGTAAATTCTATCCAAAGAAAACCTTGAATATCAAAAATCATTTTTTTCCAAGTTGAGAAACTAGAGAATTTTTATCTGAAATGTCATAATTTGTGTGAAAATGTATCCCTCTGTGTGGTCAAAGTAACAAATGAAGCAATTTCTTCCTGTGTGCAAAGAAGAGGAAAACATGTAAAAAAAAATAATAAAATTATATAGATAACATATTGGAAAAAATTAGCTACATTAAAAAAAATGGGGACTGATTTTTGAAACAGACAAATGTCATCTATAGATTCACACACACAAACACACACATGCATATTGTGTTATTATATATATATATTGAACAAAATTAAAATGCACTTTTGTTTTTGCCCCCATTTTTCATGAGCTGAACTCAAAGATCTAAGACTTTTTCTATGTACACAAAAGGCCTATTTCTCTCAAATATTGTTCATAAATCTGTCTAAATCTGTGTTGGTGAGCCCTTTTCCTTTGCCGAGATAATCCACCCACCTCACAGGTGTGGCATGTCAAGAGCTGATTAGACAGCATGATTATTGCACAGGTGTGCCTTAGGCTGGCCACAATAAAAGGCCACTCTAAAATGTGCAGTTTTACTGTATTAGGAGGTTCCGGGGGGGTGGGGAGGGTCAGTATCTGGTGTGACCACCATTTGCCTCACGCAGTGCAACACATCTCCTTTGCATAGAGTTGATCAGGTTGTTGATTGTGGCCTGTGGAATGTTGGTCCACTCCTCTTCAATGGTTTATCAAAGTTGCTGGATATTGAAAGGACGTGGAGCACGCTGTCGTATACATGTCCGATGAGTATGCTGGCCATGAAAGAACTGTGATGTTTTCAGTTTCCAGGAATTGTGTACAGATCCTTGCAACATGGGGCCGTGCATTATCATACTGCAACATGAGGTGATGGTCATGGATGAATGGCACAACAATGGCCCTCAGGATATCATTACGGTAACTTCAAAATTCAAAATGCCATCAATAAAATGCACCTGTGTTTGTTGTCCATTACATATGCCTGCCCATACCATAAACCCACCGGCCACCAGGGGCGAGTCTATCCACAACGTTGACATCAGGAAACCGCTCGCCCACAAGATGTCATACACGCTGTCAGCCATCTGCCCTGTACAGTGAAAACCGGGATTCATCCATGAAGAGAACACTTCTCCAAAGTGCCAGACACCATCAAATGTTTGCATTTGCCCACTCTGGTTGGTTACGACGACAAACTGCAGTCAGGTCGAAACCCTGATGAGGACGGTTTCCGACAGTTTGTGCAGAAATTCTTTGGTTATGCAAACCGATTGTTGCAGCAGCTGTCCAGGTGGCTGGTCTCAGACGATCTTGGAGATGAAGATGCTGGCTGTGGAGGTCCTGGGCTGGTGTGGTTACATGTGGTCTGCGGTTGTGAGGCCTGTTGCATGTACTGCCAAATTCTCTGAAAAGCCTTTGGAGACGGCTTATGGTAGAGAAATGAGCATTCAATTCACAGGCAACAGCTCTGGTGGACATTCCTGCAGTCAGCATGCCAATTGCACGCTCCCTCAAAACTTGTGACATCTGTGGCATTGTGCTGTGTGATAAAACTGCACATTTTAGAGTGGCCTTTTATTGTAGCCAGCCTAAGGCACACATTTGCAATAATCATGCTGTCTAATCAGCATCTTGATATGCCACACTTGTGAGGTGGATGGATTATCTCGGCAAAGGAGAAGTGCTCACTAACACAGATTTAGACAGATTTGTGAACAATATTTGAGAGAAATAAGCCTTTTGTGTACATAGAAAAAAAGTCTTAGATTTTTTAGTTCAGCTCACGAAAAATGGGGCAAAAACAAAAGTGTAGCGTTTATAATTTTGTTCAGTGTGTATATATATATCTACACACACTTAGTTTATAAAATTATATTTATATATGTCAATGATATTTATATTTCTACGTGCCAATTTATATTTGGCACGTATAAAATCAGACCAAATAATATTTGGTATGTATTATATGCATATGTACATTGGTCATTTTACACTATGCTGTATATTAGAAATTAGCTATCATTGCTTAGTTAACCCTCACTTACCTAGTCATTACATTAGCTGATACTTTTTACTTACCATGGCTTATTTCTCAATATTCTCTCCTGCTGTGTTGCCAAATTGAGCTCTTTACCTGTGTCAATATCTAAATTGCTTTGTTTCCTATTTGGTCAACATTACTGTACAAGTACGATTTGTATGTGGAAGTGTAAAAAAAAAATATTTATATAAGCTTTAGAGTAACATGCCAAAACAGTATGGTAAAATATCAACACTACTATTAAACTAAAAATGTAAACTTATTTACAAGTGTTTTCAAGTAGTTGAAATATGTTATAATGTGAATTTCAATATTCATATTGGTAGTATTTTTGTGATTTCTAAATAGGATGAAAATATTTTATATGTATTTTAATTAATATTTATTAGTAGTTATCATCCAGTATTAGCTAATGCTGAAAGAAACCTAGAATGATAACAGTTGGAAAAATAATGTATGTATTTTATGCTGATTTTAATGGTTTTGAATATATCTTGATTTTTGAGATCGCACAATTGATGCCCTGTTATTTTATGAATAGCCCTATGTTAAAAACTGTTATTATTTATACAACGTTCAATGTTATTTATACTATTTTAAAATACTGGCCATATTGTTCAGCTCATTAATGGGCCTTGCTATAGCTCCCTCACTTGTTGCCTTATCGAAAATTGTCTTTCAAATTGCATTTTTTTACTTTTTTTTAATCATTTTGTCTTTGTGTTTTATTCAAAAGGTGTTATAAACTTATTAAATGTTATTATGCATGTGAACTTGGGTACTATTAGTAATAATGCACATGGTTTGTTTCATTACTGAGAAAAAAAATATATCAACATTAGCATTGAGATTGAGCAAATACTAGCATAACATTTACATAAAACAAGGGATTCATAGCTAGCACATAAACATAATAAAACAGCACTTTTGTGTACAGATTGGTTTTCAGACAAACTTGAAAATATGTCACTTTACACAATTTTTATTTTGCTTTTATTCTTTATCTATTATAAAAATTGTTGGGAAATGAAAAACCTTAGACAGGATGCAGTGTCCTTTATTGTGCAATGTTTCACATGTTAGTATAAAAGCAATAATAACTTTATTCTCATATACTGTTAATGTGACAAAATAAATGTTTTAAAAATGGTCAAATACCCTGCTTAAAGGTATTTATAAAGACTCTAAAGCCATTATAAGTAGTACAGCTTACTGAAATTGGCCATTGGAGTAGAATGCCCACCTACAGTAAATATAGTTAAATCATATTTCTAAAGTAAAAGGGCAATCTTTATCAATCTCTAACTGTAGGAATGGTATGACCCATTGAAACATCATTTGCATCCATGGAAAGAGGGGGTGAGTTTCTGAGCACACTGGCAGACCTTAAAGTGTCTCTAAAACAACAAGCTTCTGGCACCTGTGTGTGATGCCCTTTCCTCACTCTATATAAATCCTGAAATTAAAAAATAAAACAGGTGGAGCATTATGTATCTTTGTACATAGGTGTGTGATACTGAACACCACTAAAAAAAATCTACTGTATATGTAATTTAAATATTCATGTTACAAAATAAATTAAAATCATGGTGCAAATGTTTTCTGGGTACGTGCATAAAATATTAGTGTGGTATAAATCAATCAGGGGTGACCGAGTTGCATTAAATGAATGACTAGTGGCATCTGGCATAGAAAGTAATTCCTTTATAGGCTTGTAATAATTCCTGGAGTATAAATGAGGGAAAGTGAGGCTTTATAGACAGCATTTCATTTACGCAAAGTTCACAAAAGTGAAAACATTTATATTACATGGTGTAAGTGAAGGATTAAACCTAGTCAAGCTTCATTTGAAAAAGAGTGGATTTACCATACATTTTCACCCTTTCATTTTTTTAAGTCAGGTATTTCATTTCAATTAAACAAGTGGGCAGAGTTCGTACCCTGTATTTATTATTTTCCTGTAGCATATAAAAGCTGTTTAGTCAAAGCTTAACCTAAATTAAACCCTCAATATGATAAACACTCAAGAAGTCAAAATGGGCTTCTACCAACCAGTGAGATTGTTCAATATTTGGGAAGCCAATGATTGCACCCATCTGGCACTCAGGCATCCACAAGATGAATACAAATAATTCCACTCAATCAATTATCAAAATATTTTCAATTATCAAATGCATACAAATGACTTAGGACATATATCATAATTCACTCATCTAATCCATCTTTATATGGTTTGAGAGTACTTTTATCCAATTATGGCTCTTGGGTGAACACACAAACTATTATAACCCCCATTTGTTAAGGGATTTATGCAAAATGATCCTCAGAGACTAACCTTCTGTTTCCCCCAGTCAACCAGGATATATGGAATCCAGGTCTAGGAATGAGACCCTGCAGTAGAGGTGTCATAGACAAAAATTTTAATTATTGGTATTATTAAAGGGACACAATAGTCACCAAAACAGCTTTAGCTTAATGAAGCAGTTTTTGTATATAGATGATGCTTCTGATGTTTCACTGCTCAATTCACTGCCATTTAGGAGTTAAATTACTTTTGTTTCTGTTTATGCAGCCCTAGCCACACCTCCACTGGCTGTGACTGGCACAGCCAGCATGAAAACAAAAATAATTTTTAATCAGATGTAACTTACTTTAAAAGCTTTTAACTCCCGCCTGCGGCATCTAGCAAGCTATTAGCAGAACAGGAGATAATGAATTCTAAATTAAACAGCATTTGCAATAGAGGAAGTTTAAGTATTAGATGACTCTTTACATGAAGTGTTTAGGAAGGCTGTGTAAGTCAGGGCAATGTGACTAGGGTTGTATAAACAATGATTTAACTCCTAAATGGCAGTGAATTGAGCAGTGAGACTGCAGGGCCATGATTTATACACCAAAACTGCTACACTAAGCTAAATCGGTTTGGTGACTATAGTGTCCCTTTAACATTGACTAAAATCAGGCTATTTTGTTATGTCCAGATTCTGTGTAGATGCACTGTTATGCAGCTATGTGGTTGCATAAACCCTTAGGCTTCTTTGGACTACTCGCAGAGCACTGTAAGATAAAATATATTTTTGAGATGACAATATATTTATTGGATTATTGACTATTTTGTAACTGTAGTAGTGCCACTATTACCATTCTTGTTGAGATAACTGCATCATAAAGTATGGCATGCCCTATGGAATGACTAGGTCTCTTTGTGACAGTGGGAAAACCATTTTGGGTTGTTACTGAGGAATCACCTAGTGAAGTAGATATGTGCTTGAGGTTTAATAAAAAGCTTACTGATATCCATGTTGCATAGTCTCAGTGATGTTGGGAACAGTTACTGACAAAAAAATAACTGAATGTCATAATTGTGAACACTCAGGAAATATAATGGCTGGCGATGAGGATCTGATCAGACACTAAAATGGATTTAATTGGCTGGTACTTTGGCTCTGTTTGCACCGGACACAAAAAAAAAAAAATTGACATAGGGGGTTTAAGTTTTGTGAGCTATATTAAAATACAGCATTAAAAAAAAAATTTAAAAAAAAATTGTGCAGATAAACAAGCCCCTTAGGGCTAGTAAATTACATTACAAGGGCAAACTCACAATCAATTAAGACAGTGAACACACTAAGCTGGAATTCAGTGCATTAGGGCTCTTATAGGTAGGCCTTTCCCCTCTTCTAATAGTGCATAGGTTTCTTCTCACAACCCAGTGCTTTAATGAGAAGAAATTTCCATAGTGTAAACTTGATAACCTTTTGATATAGGTGGTTAATGGAAATGCTTTCATAAGAGTGAGCCTGATAAAGCTAGCTAGACACTATATATATATATATATATATATATATATATATATAATTTATTTATTTATGTATAAAATATTTTACCAGGAAAGATACATTGAGATTTCTCTCGTTTTCAAGTATGTCCTGGGTCCACAAATCATTGCATTGTTACAATTATGGTACAATAAAATACAAAAACAATATTAATACACAATAAATACAAGATTTAACATAGAACAGGCAGGAAATATATAATCAACCATGACAGGTGCATTCTGTTTTGAGGTATGTAGAGAGGGATCTCTTAAAGGACTTTAGGCTTAGGGAAGATTTTAAATTGTGCGGGAGGTCGTTCCACAATCGCGGTGCTCTGTAGGAGAAGGAGGATCGGGCTGCTTTCTTTTTGTATTGAGGTAGACTAAGTAAAGTGTTGGTAATATATATATATATATATATATATATATACACACACACATACACACATACACATATACAAGATCCAGGGCCATTACCTATCCACTAAACAAAAAACGATTATAAATAGGATGGCACAAATGAGAGAAGGATCTTAGTACATGCAGCAACCAACAAAAACAAATCCTGGTAAAACTATTTGAACATAAAATAACTTACAGTAGTGATGGTGCGCAAAAACAAAAAAATCGTGTTCACTATGGACCTCTTATAGAGAGTGAAAGTAACCCTGTGTACATTAAATGAGGTGTTTACAGAGTGGAAATAATATAAATAATTTAAATCCAAACAGTGGTTGTGGTCATAGGCGTGCGCACGGGGTGTGCCGGGTGTGCCTGGGCACACCCTAATCCCCGCGGCACGCCTATGCATATTGAGACCGGCAGGGGAGATCTCAGGATCTCCCCTGTCGGCTCATGCAGAGCCGGCGCTATCCGAGCGCCGGCTCTGCTCTCAGCCTCCCTCCCCACTGACCCACATGCAGGGAGGGAGGCAGGAGAGGACCCGGCGGAGCTCCTGCCGGCAGCTCCGCCGGGTTCCTCTCGCGAGATATGAGCGTTGCCGCTGCAACGCTCAAATCTCGCGAGAGTGAACTCTAGCCCCACAGGGGTTAGAGTTCACTCTCCACTGGACCACCAGGGATCACAGCAGCAAGGATTCCCTCCTTCACTGGACCACCAGGACCACGATCCCCCCTCCCTACAAAAGGTAAGAAGGGAGGGGGGATAGCAAATAATGTACCCCCACCTCCACCCCCCACAATCACCCACCCACACACATACAACACACATTCAGCACCCACAGACATACAGCACCCACAGACATACACAGCACCCACACACATTCAGCACCCACAGACATTCAGCACCCACAGACATACACAGCACCCACAGACATACACAGCGCCCACACACATTCAGCACCCACACACA